CAAAACTACAAGGGACGCCTTCAATACAGATCATATAAGAGCAAAGTCGGAGACACTACGTGACACCTGCATGAAAGAGCATTGGAACTTCCTGAAGGTGATGTTCAAGGAAATGTGTGCAAATGTTTTAGGAAGAAAAAGGAGATAAGACAAGAAATGGCTCTCAAAGGAAACCTGCCTAGAAGCTAAAAGAAGAGAGGAGAGGAGGCTGATTAAAGAGAAGATGGCTCGATGCAAAGATCGGCAACAGAAGGAGAAGTTGAATTCAGTGTACACTGCACTGAATCAAGAAAGATGTGAAGAAGAGTGCTAGGAAAGACAAAAGACAATTCAACAACACACTGGCAACTGAAGCAGAACAGGCGGGCCACAGGTAAAAGACAACATTATATCAGTTAACCAGGTTTCTATCCGAGAAGAGATCAACACAGGTGCAACCTTTAAAAGATGTTCAAGGAAACCTGACTACCAAGGAGGAGACACAAATAAAACAATGGGCTGACCACTTCAAAGGACTTTTCAATCGACCATCACCTGCAACTCGCCAAGAAATACCACTGACAGCACGCACAGAACTGCCTGTCAGTGGACACCAATCATCCAACGAAAACAGAAGTTCAGGGAAAAATAAGGGTGAACAATCATGATATATGTCTAAAGTCACAAAAACTCGAAGACCTAGAGGCAGGCGAAAACTGGCAGCAAACTGGCTGACGAAGCAGGTGGCGAAGACAGGAGTCCATCCAAGTGAACACAGAGAAGGTGGAGATGGAAGTGATAAAGATAACCAACCAACACCAATCACCATCAACGGGAGAGATTTGACAGAGGCTAGCTCCTTCACTTATCTGGGAAGCATCGTTTTAACTACAGGCGGAATGGATGAAGATTAATAAAATAATCCCCATTCGAAAATTAATAGACAGAAGGCCAGTAGTTCAGCGAAGTCTCTTTTCGGCGAATTCATTTTCATAGCTGTACAGTCGCAAATATTACTACAAATATTCAACAAATTCCATTCAGCTACAAAGATCACCCTCGAAATTGAAAACGAATCTAAAATTCCTTTTCTTGATGTTGAACTTAATAGAAGAACTGACGGAACTTTAAGAAGGTCCATCCATAGGAAACCCACATGGGACGGCCAACTAACAAGCTTTTACACAGCTGGGTACCAATCAGTCGAAGAAGAAACCTAATTAGATCTCTTGCTACTCACGTCCGACGCATCTGCAGCTCTGATACCCTGGAAGAAGAACTACACTTCCTGAAAGAAATCTTCATACGAAACGGTTATCCACCAAAATTCGTAGACAAAACATCAGACAGAAAATCCAAAATCAAGAGACGTCATCCGTGCCAAAAAGATACTGTATATGAACCTCGACTTCAAAGGTGATCTACTCAGTCGATCGCCAAGTCTTGGCGATCCATCAGGGCAATGCCACCATCTTTATTGGTGCGGGTCGGAACCAAGTCTTTATTCTTTAAAATCTCAAGTAGTTGCTTTCTGTGCTCGGCTGAAATCAATCTATTGATATTTGGTTTTGTATTGATGTACTGATGGCAGCTATTCAATACTGAAGATTTGAATTGTTCATATGATTTGTTAGACACTGGGAGAACGTCATTTGTCTGTTGGATCAGTGCTTCAAGCTGGACTTTAATATCCAAGTCACTCAAATTTGTCGAAATATCAGAGAATCTCGGACCCAACGACAAGGCTTGCAATTGGATAGGAGTTAACGATATACTAGAGTAGTTGAAAACGTATTTCTCTGGTGTGGCAGGAAAACATGAATAAGTGTCAGCGGCTTTCAGACTATTTACGAGTTTCAGGTTTACATCTTCACAACGTCTTCCTGAAACTGAATCGATGTAGTCCATCAAATTTCTCTGCTCTTCTTCTGTCAGTTCAAATACAGCATGTGTTCTCAGTGAAATGTTTCTTTCTTTCTCTGATAGGCGAGATTTTATTTCATCGGTCACATTCAGTGTATGACGTTTCAAAGAGCGACGACTTTGGGTGGATATGATTGCGACGAAGACATTTCCAGTAGTGCTTGAGATATTCTTTCTTATCAATACAGCTCTTTAGAAAACTGATTCTTGTATTCGCTATGGCAAGCTCGACAGAAAACGTATCAAACGACAGAAACGTATCAAGTTCTTTCTCTGTCATAGGGTTCTTGCCCTACTTCAAATCACCTGATCTATTATTGAGTAATAGACTATACATTTTTGGTAAATATAAATACAACTGTACAGGCTCTGAAGATGATTTCGTCGATAAAGAAAATTTTCTTCGCTGAATTTGTCCTTTATTTTCTTCATGACTCAATGGGTATTTTCGGTGATTCCAAGATAATCTACACTATAGAATAGATTTCCAGGTATCTTTATTAGTCATCACTAAATCGTTCATAGACACAGCCGATGTTTATGAACTGCAGGATGCATTAATCGTATTGGAATTATTCTTTATCCACTCTATTTGTGTTTATTATAGCTTTCCATGTTTATTTTCTCTACCTTCGTGTTTGCTCTTATGAACTGTGGCAACTTCAAACGTTGAAAATTCAATCTATTGATTTAACAAAAAACATACTTGAAATAAATATCGTAGGATGAGTGAGTGAAGAGTGACAATGAGAACAGTCAACAGCTCTCAGAAACCATTTCTGTCTGTCAGCTTTCGACATAGAACTTTGCACCAGTGTGCGGCAGTTCAAGTCACCACACTCCATGTAGCACACAAAGCAAGAGAAGAAATGCATAATATAGACAGTAAACAGAGGTGTGAGACGAAGGAATAGTAATAACGGAGAACAAAACAGTTTAATTGGAAATCATAAGTCACAAGGAGTGAATATATCTGTGCCACTGAGAACGACTTTGAGCCATATCACCAATTGTTTCCAACCACTGGTTTTACTGTCCCAAGGACCCCAACCAGGAAGTCTACACCTTCCCACGTGACTTAAACTAACTGTTGTAGACTTCATTGACTGATGCCATGTTTCGGTTTGACCGCCGCTAGCTCTTTTCCAGCCTGACCCTATGTCAGCTAACATTGCCCGTCGAGGAAGGCGATGACTAGGCATACGCAACACATGTCCTAACCATCTCAATAGATGTAATTTCACAGCCTCGTCGATTAATTCCTCCAGAAACCATTTGAATATATGTGTATCTTAAGTAAAATAAAGACCAGGAAAAATTAAATCTAGAAACTTCAACTTGGCATCTATCCTATTTACAAATTTATTTGTCATAGGTTACCTCATAAAAAAGATCCCTGAGGTGATAAACATTTTGGTAGTGATGATTTGTGTGTGAGCATTTAAGAAAATTAAATACGCAAACCGGTATACTACTCAAATTCACCCGAGTAGTGTAACTGTCAAAGACGAAACTTCACAAACCCAGACGGATGAAATGGATTCTCTTCATTCTACAGGAAACACGTAACTGACCTACAAACCCGAAAATCCGAGGTACAAGATAGAGATTTTCATAAGGCCAAAAAATATATTTTACAAAAGATCTTCCCATCTTCCCATCTAGTTAATACGTTTTTTTTTTGATAACTGTCTACATTCTATAGGATGTTGTTAAGAGTATTTGAAGTCTGATTACTTAATTTAGATTTTAGTATAAAAAAAAGGTGAAGATTTATTTGGTATTAAATTCAGACATATAACAAAACAATGATTGAAGAATTAAATAAAACTTGTGAAAAGGAAACTATCCTGCTGGAAGCTAAAAATACTACTGATTGACTAGGTACATCAATTTATTTTGAAATAAACTATCACAGGTATGCCACAAATGCTGAGTTATAAGGATTAGCCAATCATAGACGTCGGTAAACTGAGGTAATTTTTGTTCAACTACTATGTAATCTTGGTGCGTCGGTGGTATAGCGGTTTGGATGCTCGCCGACCAGGCACATGGTCCGGGGTTCGATCCCCGGCCGACGCACTCCTTTACCTCGCTGAGCCAGAAATAATGCTGGTAAAGAGGAAAGGTTAGGTATGAGGTCAGCAACCCCATCCTGTGAAATAAACACTGCTACACAAACTTCAAGCCACTAGCTTGAAGCCCTATGTTCCACTGGGGAACGTGAAGGAAAAAAAGAAGAAAAGAACTATGTAATCTTACAAGTTAACACTACTTATTATTTCTTCTGTTTCCTGTTTTCTCCTGCCCTTCGTTTAATTATTTGAAATACACACAGACTGATGATGACCTGATCAAAAAAATGTGCTGCTTTAACTTACAACACTTTCTATGCTAAACTCGTACATCAAAGTATGCTACTTTCATTCTTTTATAACCATTGTAATTTTGGGTAGTCCGAAGCTGATGAAAACCTCTGTTTTGTTGAAATCAAACCGTTTTCTATAAGTTATTCCCAATAACTCAAACCGATGACTGATTAGTTAAGCGCTTAGTATATTGATCATCGAACTGTATCTGTTCATACGAACATAACGTATGTGTCAAACGTGGGCACTGTGGTAGTATGTAATTCCATATTAATATGTTTATTAGATACGTCACATAGTGATAATACTGTTTCACTGTGTAATATATCTAATAAACAAATTAATATGGAATTATATACAAACATAGAGTAGAACTGTACAGCTACTTTCTATTGAAATCAACTGCTGCATTACATTTATAATCAGATTAGTATATATAATATGGGTAGCCGTAGAAACATTTAATATTTGGTAGAGACGGAGTACAGAAGTAGAATAACACTACATTTTCACGGAATAAATCTAAACAACTTTATAAAAATAATCCGACAAAATAATAATTAAATGCAAGTTTGAATGTCAACAACAAGCTTAAGGCATTAATATGGTCATATAATGAAACTGTTAAGCTGGTTACTAACATAATTCGAACAATTTTGACAGTTAAAACCAACTGAATAAATCATTGCTCAAAATTCTCATACTAAAATTTAACCCGTAAAGACTTACCAGTTTTGGTAAACTTATACGTGCAATTAAATATCGTAACTCTCCACTGTTGTCAGAGTTGACCTGTACCAATTCGTATTTCGGAGTGTCACCTTTGACAGGTGGATCAGGTAATTCAATCACTTTCGGGTTACACGATCTTTAATAATAAAAAATTACGCATGTACAAAATTTTTTATGTTACGCTGAACTATCCATTTCTATGATAGCCGGACGACTTGAAGTTCGAATACATTGTTCTTGAGGTCTACCCATACATTTTTTATTTTTTAAAACAACCCAGCCTAAAAAATAACGATAGAATAAAATAGTTGATCTTTCCAAAAATTGTTGTTTACTTTTTTCAAGATCAATTCCATACTTATTTTCTAAGCCTTCAAAAATCACTGTCATTAAAAAAGCTTCAAATAATTCTGATGATTTAACTTTTTCATAGAACTCTGGATTGATTGCGACATCATAAGCAGTACAACCTTTTTGAGCTGAAAATAAGAACAAGACATAAAACAAATGGCAACATAGTTAATATATGCAAGCAGAAAACACTAAAAGTATTTCAACGTCCATTAATTGAGATGACGAAAATATGAACGACCGACGCTAAACTATAGTCAACAGGAATTTGACTAGGATGGAAAAAGTAAAGCGACTCACATATCAGTGCAAAATTTCGCATTGAAATTCGCCATTTCAACAAAGAGAATAGAACCGAATCGTGATAAGTGGACAAACTGCAGACAGATATGTCAGGCTTGATATATATATATATATATATATATATATATATATATATATATATAGTGTCACTATTTCCAACCATAATTTAAAACACTACAGATGTTAGGTACTGTACTGCTGTGGAAAATACGACTTAACCATCAGGACATACTAACAAAGGTTAGATGAACAAACCCGTGTTGCTATTGACTAAGTATAAGACGAACGCTTGCCTGAATGAATTTAATACATTACCAGCTCTTCATAGTTTTAGCTCGCTTGAGAAAAGCATAGGTTGTGGATTCTTCTCTATCAGGTGAATTTGTTTTCCCGACAGATAACTGCTGCTCACACTATTTTAGGAGTTCGTAAGTGAAATAGGGATGTGACACCAGTAAGGTGTTTCCCTAGGACGGCCAGCTATGCTGACTCTCCACTCTATGAAGAGGTTAGAAAAGGTTGTGCATCCTGACTTACTTTGCAGTGATCTGTAGCCACTGGCGAGGTCTTTGTACGAACACAACTCCAAACACTGCATTAAACAGGCTATGTGAACGGCCTCAAGTAGCTGCCCACTGGGCTCTGAGATTATGTAACACTGATGATACTTCTGTATCGGACATTTCACGAAGAAATCAACTCTCACTGTGTGGACAACCAGGATTTAACAACTGCCCACACATTCCCATAGGCATACAAAACCTTTCTAGTCGTCGCCAGCCATCGTCTCATCACTCCTCCTTTACTGTTAACTCTATTTCACAGGTAGGTTCTCTGCTTTCTCTTAACCCCATGGCCACTAGTGGCGTCCTCGGCCGGGAAAAACTGCTGACAATCTCCTAAGACGACGCTGTCTACTTCATTCTGGAGCTTCCAAGGTAGGGACATAATGCCGAATAGGACAGCCGACCTCACTATTCAGAACTATGCATGTCTGTTGTTTCGGAGACAGTCGTACAGAATCCAAGTGTGGTAATTCACTTAGCCCAGTTGAGTCAACAGAATAAATCTACAAAATTCACCTTGAGGGTGTCGGGCGATTCTTCAGCTAGTTCTCTGCAACTTGCTGGTGTGAAAATAACATTGATTTGTAAGATAGAAAAACCGCCATTCATCTCATTTCTGCTAAACAGTCGTATGTGTTGTCTGATTAAAATGGACTATAAGAACACAGAAGTATTTTGACATCCGTTGATGCCTTCATAATCTCCACTTACGTCCAAATGGACTAAGGAAATGATGAGCTGTCAGAAGCTGTTTATTTCGCCTCTAAAAGCAAAACCCTCAGATATAGTGAACCTACTTACTCGAGAACCAGTTCTAGTGGTTGGGGCAAACTGGTACCACCTATGGGGTAACATGCCGATGAAGCGATAACGCAGACCGTCTTATACTATTTCTGTTCATATAATCATCTGCTCCTGGTTAGAACCAATTTGAAACATGAGACCTCGAGTCAAAAAGTAGTATGTGACAATAGATTCTTGTTACTACATCCGAACTGGTAGACACAAGAAGACTGATTTCAGCTGTCTACAAATAAGAGGATCGAAGGCTGCTCAAATGCAAGTTGGTAACAGCCTCCGCGAAGAACATCCAGCTCTGACTGCGGTTACAAATGATGACTCTAACCTGAAAGCAGGTGAAGCACCAGGACCGGCTGGAATGATTCCAGAAGTATTTAGGATGTCCACGACAAACTGTTATCTGGGTTGGGTAAGATACTAGGTAATGTCTACGAATCAGAGATAGTTTCTTTCGACTACTGTAAATCATTAATTTTCTAAAAATGGAAACAAGTCTTCCTCTGATAACCATAGGTGGATAAGCTTGACTAATGTAGTATATAAGATTTTGGGTTCAGTAGTTATTGGTAGATTAAGTGGTGCTCCGAGGAAACAAGCACGGGGAAGCCAGAAAAGCTTCAGCCTAGAGAGCGGGAGTACTGATCATATCTTCACGCTTCGACAGATTCTCGAACACAGGCATTCTTACCGGCGTTCAAAGCTTGCCACATTTCCTGATCTGAAGGCGGAATTCAAATTCGTCAACCAAGATGCTGTTTTTCCACGAAAAGAATATCGAAGAATTATACTACATTCATCAAGGCACTCTATCCGAACTCGCGAAGCCGTGCAAGAGTTTATAGAGGATTTTCATCTTGAATGATGACAACCGGCGGTGTCTGCTGGGGATGCCCACAGTCCCCATTTTTATTTAGTTTCATAGATGTACTAATTGTATTGACTATAACTGAATTTAGCGACCTACGGAGAGATTTGTTACCACGTACAGTCTTATCAACCTACAGTACGCGGATGATAATGTCCTCCCACGAAAGGGGTTAACAAAATGCAATCTTCTTAACACCTTGGGAAGAAACCTTCGTACGTTTAATATGCGATCCCCCACTGTCAAATTTAAAAGGAGGCTGTAGTACTGGTGTGTACCAACTCTTAATTTAAAGGCTGGCGGTGGAGTGGTTGAGTTTGCTGACTACTGAAATTGATTAGACAGTTAAAATGAACTGATTGCTGACAAATTTCAGCACGGACACAAAAGGCTCATTTAACATTTGTCAACTTGTGTCATTTTTGGTGTAGGTGTGGCACTCGGCTATCGATCAAATTGCATGTATACCGTTCTTCTTTATGACTGTGACACGGATGTTTAAAGTAGAACTGAAGAAGCCAATTGTCTTTGCTCTTGGCTTTTTGCGTTTTGTCTTCCGTATTGTGGTATAAAGATGTAATTATTATTGATGTTAGGCGTAGTGTGGGGTAAGAAGGGAAAGTCACTCAGTGGAATCGTGAAGCTGCATCGAAGGAGATGGTCGCGACTCATTGCTTCACAGACTCATTCCTTAAATTCTTACTATTTGCCGTGCAACTATTCTTTCTCCCATAAAATTCTGTTCGCCGTATCACGTTAGCATTTCTTCTTACCTTAATAAGCATTCATGAAATGTGACAGCTTAAATTGCTGCACTTTTATGCAAAGTTCTACGTTGAAAGTGTAGTGCTACCCAGTTTTGCTTCGGTTTACATGTACTTCAAACGTTGCTAAAACACTAGAGGGTTTTATTAACAGATCTTTTGGTAGTAAAAACAACAGTTAGTGTTCCCATTAACTGGTGTTTTTATGATGACTCGCTACTAATGAATGATTAGAGATACGACACCTAACTACTAAATCAGATGATACTGTTATTAAAGCTGTATTCCTCCAAAAATATTCCACTAGTGCTTCTGGATTCTATGTACGATACTTCGATTTCCAATTATTCAAGTATTATTGGAAATCGCACATCAAAAAAACACTACTTTGGGGACTGATGACAACTAATGTGTGGTTGCAAACGACCTCAACGTTTTATGTTACAATTTCAAACATGAAAATTTTTTTAAATTACAGTTCGACATGTTCTGTGTGGTACTATCTACATAGGTCAACATTGTGCAGGCTTAGTAAATATCACTGGAATGACAATAACTCTCGATATACAAGAAGGGAGACAGGTCTTTCTGTGATAATCATAGGGGGATTTACTCGAACAATATCCAGTATCTAGGCTCAATAATCATGCTTAGACTAAATGGCGCTCGGGAGGAACAAACACGAGAGAATCAGGCAGGCTTTAGACCAGGAAGAGGGTGTATTGACCATACCTTTACCCTTCGACAGATTCTGGAACATAGACATACTTACCGGCGTCTAACAATCGTTATATTTCTTGACCTAAAGGCATTCGATCCTGTCAACCGAGAGGTACTACGGCGATGCTTAGCTGTAAAGGGAATGCCAAGAAAATACATTGCACTGATCAAGACACTCTACTTGCACCCATGCAGTTAGCCAGGTAAGAACCCTAAGAAAGTTGTCATCTCAAGTGGTGAAAACTGGTGGTGTCCGTCAAGGATGCCCACAATTTCCACTTCTATTCAATTTCATCATAGATGTACTAATGGAATTAACCCTAACTCACTTCAGAGACTCAGGGACTGACTTGTTACCAGAGAAAAATACGGATAAGGTGAAGACCCTGACAAAATGCAGAGCCTTCTGAACACCTTGAGCTGCATGCGATTCGCTCTTGTCAAATGTAAGATAATGTTACAGAACTGTAATACATTGACTCCTAGCTTAGAAATAGGGAGTGAAGTGGTAGAGCATGTTGACCACTTCACTTATTTGGGAAGTTGCATCAGCCAGCCCCAGCATGTTGATCGCTGACGAAATCTCAGCATGCATACAGAAGGCTCGTGTCGCATACGCCAGTTTACGCCGTCTCTGGCGTAGATGTGATATCCGGCTGGCTATCGACCAAACGGCGTGTGTACTTCTCAGCAGTCCGCTCCGTCCTCCCCTGTGGCTGTGACACCTGGCTATCGAGAGTGGAGGACATGAAAAGACTGACTGTTTTTGATCATAGGTGCCTGCGTTCTATCTCCCGTGTGAAGTGGTATAACAGGGTGAGCAATATTGAGGTTAGGCGTCAAGTGCTAGGTAAGGAGGGGAAATCAATCGAAGCTACACCGACTGAGATGGTTAGGACATATGTTACGTATGCCTAGCCGTCGCCTTCCTCGACGGGCAATGTTAGCTGACATAAGATGGATCGGGTTGGAAAAGAGTTAGCTGGCGGTGGTCAAACCAAAACATGACATGACTCAAAATCATTCTAAATAGCGCAGATGCCTCCACTCCTTGCGACTTATAATATACAATGAAACGATATTGTTCTTCGTTATTACTATTCCTTTTGTCGCATATCTCTGTTTACTGTCTCCATTTAACATTACTTTTTACTTACTTCCCTTGCTTTGTGTGCTACATGGAGTGTGGCGACTTAAACTGCTGCACATTGGTGCAATGTTCTATGTTGAAAACAGTCAACTCTGCAGTCACCAGAAACCTGTTAGCGCACTATGTTATGATGTTAGCTAGGCTGCGAGACTTGTCGCATGACTATTGTAGAACCTAGGAAGCTAAGCTATATGATAACTCAGAACTTAGTGTAAATTATTCGATAGTGGCCGATAACTGTGTTTAGTTACTAAACGAGCAAAGATTCCACAACATAATTCAAGTGAACAAAGCCTTCTACCTACTTGTTTAATCATCTGGCACAATATTACTGCCAAGAGATGTAGATGACTAATGGACCAATGTGAAAACTCCCATACTACCTGAATATGCTAAGCAGCATTTCGAGCACATTATAAGACAGTAACCCATATAATTCTGAGTAATTAGCATTTCTGCTGCAGTTTCGTCCAGTTTCTGAATACCATTGCTGTAAGTACATATGTCACACTTTTATTTTATTCAGGATCATTCGCACGGGTGTTTTGCTCACTGCAAAAACGTCCCATAAATTCAGCACTTTACGCATCTGCGTGTCTGAAGTTACTATGTACATAGACTGTACCCACTCCACCAAATAACTTGGGTACAATTTGACATCCGATGCTACGCTTACGAGTACAGAAAATATCACTAATACATCGTTTCTTCGATGGAATCATGTAATAACTCAAAACATTGTACACACAAATTAATCGCAAACAATACTATCAATCATTCATACCGATTTTTGCTGCTGCTATAATAAAACCTATTACTCAGAGAAACATTATAGAAATAACAGAATGTGAATTAGAACAATTTATGTGCATACAGAAACATAGAGGATGCAAATCAGCTTTGCACACTTGCCAAAGTCATCAAAAACCACTTGCATTTTGAAATGTAACTATATTCAATTGAATAAAGACAGAGAAGAATTCAACAAAGACCACTGAAAAATTAAGTGCCAAGTAGCTTTTATTAATTAAAACTTGTGCCAATGAGAAATGCAAAATTGGGACCCACGGTCTGACTAATGCTTGGAGGTTTTCAGCACATGGCTATGTGCCATCAGAATAATGGCGTGTCACCTCTTCAACGTATTGCAGTGAATGACTTTATTTGTCAGCAACTATCAAATTGAGATCAAAGTAACAAGAATGAAATCACAATCACTAAAATATTAAGTGCTGTGATGAAGCCTAATCTGGCCATTTAACATTCTGATTGTCAGTGTCAAAATGGTTGTGTGAAGTGAGTTTGGTTTTCATGCTATTTTAACTGCCGTTATTCTGAAGTGTTGATTCACTGAATCTGGTAAAAACTACCTCTAAGGCCCACACTTTTGTCACAATGCCTCGCTTCTGAAGTATACACAAGAAAGTTGGTTGAGTGGCATCAATGTGCATCAGTTAATAACGTTGCTGTTCTATTCTCACACCTCATCTACTACTCACTGTATTGGATAGGAATGTCTTCTTTCCGACTATATAAAATTAGTAATTTAGAGCTTTTCGCCACTTGAATCAATTATATCAAATCTACGAGTGAACCTTTCCTCAATCAGGTAAAGATGTAGGTGTAATTTTCTTAGTTTATACGGAATGACTCCATAAAAAAAGATAAGTGACATGTTACAGTTAATAGATGGGACGAATTTCAATGAACTGTAACTGATTTCTAGTACCTGAGTCAACTTCAGCGTGTGGCTCCCCTATACACATAGGGACCTTGAAAGGTGGGGAATTCTCAATATCATCAAGGATTTCTCTTAGTTCATCTTCAGTTATTCTTCTTGGGGCAGGAACCTGGAAGATGTGCGTTAAAATTCTGACCCACTTTGTCGGAAATACATATGTTCACGAAAACCTTTTCTTGCTTCTTCGACTTTAACTTGACACAAAAACCTGAAATTGAAATTACCTTACGAATTATGTCTAACCAGGTTTTGGCACAATTATTATTGAGCTTTGTTCAAAATTCTTTGCTGGCATCTTGAATACGGGTAAATATGGGTCGGGAACCTACCTCATTCCTAACGATATCAAACATCCCCATATAAAAATCTATACGACTGAAAGAGGCGGGTAATAATTTGGCAAGGTGATCCACACGTGAGACAGTGACAATGATCAATGCCACAAAGTTTTGCAAATAGCTGCGTGAATCACTTGACTTTCTTGACACTGTTTTCGTTTCACAAGTGGTGTGACGAATGCGCTATTTTTCAAAGGATTATAAAGCCAGTGAAATAAATTCCTGACGGCTTAGAGATACATGTGAAATAGTTTACTGTTCGCAGAAGAGTGAAGACAAAGGTTTCCAAACCTGTACTTATCCCCCAGACTTTATTTTGCTTTGGAGTTCCACTTTTGTTTTGAATTAAAAGACAGAAGTTTGTAGCGCTTAAAGAATTTCTCTACATTATTGGCGTACGGCACTCTTCACTCAACATCAGATGCTCACTTTCACTGTTCAAATCTGCTCGTTAGGCTGAGCATTCGTGGTCAAGCACCCAGGGACTTCAGCAAGTTGTTGTGTTACATCTCTAGCCAGCTACGCAATCATCATAGCACCACGATTCAGACCAAAAATATATCTCGCATATTTGGACAGTTAAATCGGTGTTTTAATATGTCTGGTGTCTAAGTAGACCAAACACAAGGAGTTGTGGGATAAGAACTTGCGTCCGTATGCACCATGCCTTGCATTAACGTCAGTATCACTTTGCTCGCAAAAGTCCTGCGACAGGGCGTTCCGCTGGTTTACAATTAGATGCAGCGGACGAAGTTCTAGACGCCGTTGAATCGACCAGGATTTTGGTTTTCAGCAATCTCTACTTAAAACACAGAATGCCCAAATCGCAATCGCTCTATACCGTTAACAATAAGTCCGATCGATCCTATCTCTTTTTGTGCGACAGTTTTAAGAATCTGTAGCGGAAAATAATTCCCCAAAATTATTGACCACAGCAATCATCACTGAACATTGGATGCTGACCCTCGCTGTTTAAGTCGACTTGTTTAGCTGAAGGCTTTCGGTCAAGCATCCATGCTATTTGGTACTCCGTCGTGTCACGTGCGTGCACGACCACTAGCTAGTTAAGCACTCGATACGGCTTACTATTTGGCCCCAAAATATATCACGTGCTTTGGACGATCATTTGTGGCGTTTTGCTTTGTATTTGGTACACGAGAAACGATTACTTTAGAAGTTGTTGGTATAAGATCTTGCGTTAGTATACTCCGTAAAATTTGCGAACGTCGATACTGTCAGCCTCTAAACTGGTGAGCCCAACCACGAACTTCATCTTCAATTCACACGCAGATAAACCCGGTGAGTTTGTTCCGTTTTGTGTTTGTTCTTGTACTATATTGTATTCGGCATACATTTCGTCATGAGTGATCCTAGCCCCAAAGTTATTCGGATTCGCTCAACTGCCAAAACAATTCAGCTAGTACCATATTGGCCAGATAATGCTGAAACGCGGTTCCAGATAGCTGAGTCTGATTTTTGTGAGCATGGGATAACCGATCAACGTTCACAGTTCCTTGCAGTTATTCACGCCCTACCACGGGAATTCAGCAAGTACGTAACTGTGAAGATGTCGAGTCCAGGGGTAAGTAACTCATAGGAGTTGCTCAAAGCATCCCTCCTCAGGAGAAACTTTCTCATTGATCGACAGCGTCTGGACGAATTATTTCGCAACATCGAGTTAGGTGATCAGTCAGCCGTGAGCATGCTGACAAGAATGAGAGAGGTTATTGGCCAAAGTCAGTTCGACGAAGGACTGTTCAGAGAGCTGTTTTTATCCAAACTGCCACAGTCAGTACAGTCTGTGCTGATGACACTTCAGGGTGTTATCATAGACGACTTAGCTGTTCCTGCTGATAAAATTCTAGAAATAACTAGACGGTCAGATCCTGAAATGTGCCCGGTGGCCAAACAGACTTCGAGTAAGGATACTGCAGTGATGGAGTTATGCAACTCCATCCAGTAGATGCTGAGGTCAAACATGCCTAGTAATTCATCCTGCCGGCGTCCTAAATCCCCTCAACAGCAAAACCCCCGTGGTCGATCTAGGTCCAAACCACGTTCACTGAAGAACCCTGACTGGTGTTGGTATCACAACACCTTTGACCAGGAAGCGAAATGTTGTCTTAAATCTTGTAACTTCGGCAATGTCTCAGTGACTGTGGGAAACTATCCCGCTACCACGCATTAGCGGCAACCGTCGCCGGTGGCACTAGCCGCCTACTTTACATTCATGATGTGGTCGGCCAGGCTAGATATTTAGTCGACACAGGTGCCGAAGTCAGCATCCTTCCTGCTACGGCAGCAGATCGACAGAAGGAACCTGCCTTCAACTTACAGGCTGCAAATGGAAAACCAATTCCAACTTTTGGTAGGAAATACATCTATCTGAACGTAGGTTTACGCAAACCTATTCAGTGGATTTTCCTAATCGCTGACGTCACAATGCCCATCATTGAGGTGGACCTACTTAATCATCATGATGTACTCGTAGACGTCCGCCGTAAACGACTGATTGACAATACTACTAGTCTGCCTATCAAAGGCATCACCTAAATAGGCCCCAGCTTGTCAATCGTGAAGATGAAAGCAATCCTCGATCCAACTTTTCAACCGATTGTTGACAAATATCCGGAACTTAGTTGCCTACCTAACGATCTCCCGTGGATAACCAGCAATGTTATGCACCACATCATAACCTCAGGACAACCTGTGACATCTAAAGCTCCACGACTTGCTCCTGACAAACCGAGAATCAGGAGTAATGAGTCCGACCATATGCTCACCCTTGGCATCATTCGGCCATCGAATAGCCTATGGGCATCCCCATCGCATATGGTACCGAAAAAGGATAGTAATGACTGGCGACCCACTGGTGATTACCGGCGAGTGAACGCCAAAACAACCCCTGATTGCTACCCTTTGCCTCACATACACGACTTGACGGCAACGTTATCTGGAGCATCTATATTCTCTAAAATCGACTTGGTTAAAGCATATAACCAAATCCCGATGGCAACGGAAGATATTCCGAAAGCGGCTATCATGAGGCCTTTGGGACTTCTCGAATTCCTAAGTATGCCATTCGGCCTCCGGAATGCAGTACGAACATTCCAACGCTTCATCGACGAAGTATTTCGTGGTCTTCACTTTGTATACGCATAATTAGACGACTGCCTCATTGCCAGTCCAGACAAGGATGTCTGGGTTTTTTGTTAATGCGAAGACAATATTTCTATATCTCTTTATGTGTTACACAGACAGACTATTTAGCAGGCTCTTCCGACTGACTCTAATGTCAGAAAGAACAAACAAACTGTAAATTCACCATACATCGAAATATGTGTAATTTATATAATAACTTATCCATGCCTGTACAATTGGTATGTTCCTGCATAGACAGGAATAAATATATATATATATATATATAAGGAAACTCACCTTAGACACTTGGACTCGGCATTTGAAAGGTTACGCCTACATTGTGTTACCATTAATATTCAAAAGTGTCAGATAGGCGTTGACTCACTCGACCTTCTCAGCCAAACCACTGACTTCAAGGGTATCCGCCCACTGGCTAGTAAAGTTGAGGCGATAGTGAACTTTCCAGAGCCACAGACAGTAAAAAGTCTTCGCACATTCAACGGCTTGGTAGGTTATTATGGACGGCTTATTCAGAACTGAGCTTCGCTGATTCAGCCATTAATAGAACTTCTTCGAGTGAATAACAAGTCCATCGAACTCAACTCGCCTTCTTGAAATGCTATCATTCAGGTTAAAAAGCTATTGCGGATGCCACCCTTCTTATATATCAGGATCCAACGGCACCATTAAGTATCTCGATTGATGCATCAGACACTGCAATCGGTGCAGTTCTGCAACAACTAGTTAACAACAAGTGGCAACCACTCGCCTTTTTCTCGAGGCGCCTTCAATTAGCTGAAACGAAGTACAGCACATTCGGAAGAGAACTTCTAGCTATGTACTGTGCTATACGTCATTTTCGACATTCAGTTGAGGGTCGTGAATTCATCATTTTCACTGACCACAAACCTCTGACGGACTCTCTGAACTCAACTTCAGATAAGTATTCACCCAGGGAATCACGACAACTGGATTACGTTTCACGGTTTACATTGGATATTCGCTATGTATCCGGAGTGAACAACACTGTGGCAGATGTCTTGTCGCGCATTTCTTCCCTCACCCAAATCGACGGCATAGACCTTGTAAAACTGGCTCGTCTTCAAAAAGAAGATACCGAGCTTCAGCATGAGTTGTCGAAAACAACTCTACAATTAGCCGAGAAACCCTTAGGTATAGGAAAAGATACTATTCTCTGCGACATTTCCACTAGTACTCCTCGCCCCTTCGTGCCTAAAAGTTATCGCCGTAACGTCTTCAATACATTGCATGGTTTATCCCACCCAGGTATTCGAACTGCCGTCTAGCTCGTAACAAGTCGGTTTTGTTGGCCTGGTATTAATAAGGAAGTAAGGGAATGGGCTCACACGTGCTTAGCTTGCCAGAAGTGCAAGGTGGTGAGACACACCAAAAGCCCCCTTGGTACCTTTCTTATCCCTGATGCCCGTTTAGAACAAGGACGTGCATTACTTGCCACTTAGATTATTTTGACTACATTACGCAATGCGTTGATAATTGGTGTTCGGCAACAACATTATTCCTCGACGTCATCAAGACCTTCGATAAAGTCCCACATATCAGACTCCTAACAAAACTCTAATCCTACGGAGTAACCAGAAAACTTCTCAAATGGATAAATTCTTTTGGCCAAGTTAAACTTTAGACACCAATAACTACCAATCAGCGAACGACGTCGAATTATCCACTGAGATTCACGAACGTGGTTCAATGTTGTATAGCGCTTGATTTATTTCAACGCGTGCCCTTACAAGGTTGCGTTTGCAATTCGAGGAGGATAGTGTCTTTCAGTATTGCATGGACTTAGGCTTGCTTCTAAAGGAGAGAAGTTGTTCGTGTGGTTGTGTAATGACTCTAAAAAGCTATACTAGGTCAACTGGTGGTTTTGTACATCGTTGTAATATGCTGGAATCGAGTTAGTATCA